TTAGAGGCTTATAAAATCATGAGGACATAGATAAGGTGAATAGCAAAGGTCTTTTCCCTAGGATAGGGGTGTTCAAAACCAGATGGCATAATTTTAAGATGGAAGCGAAAGATTTAAAAGGGATCTGTGGCAACATATTCACACAGAAAGTAGTTCATGTGTGGAATGAACTGCCAGAGGAAGTGGTAGATGCAGGTACTGTTACATCATCTAAAAGACAGGTACGTGAATAGGAAAGCTTTAGAGGGATATGGACCAAACACAGGCAAGTGGGACTAGTTTAGTTTGAGAAACCTAGTCGGCATGTACAAGTTGGACCAAATGGTCTGTTTCCATGCTGTATGACTCTATGGCAGCCAGAGCTTTGTGTAGATTTAAAATAAGACTTCAAAAAATCTAATTCAGAGATTTGATAGTGAAAAAAAGCACATTTGTGAAACTAGCAAAGTTTTTAAATCCCAAAATGTATTGGGGAGGTAGGGGCATCTTACAAAAACAAACTCCATTAATAGTCTCTTCAAAATGTCAATAACATTATTTCAGACTTTGAAAATCCAGCACTAAGAGTTATTTCAAAACACTCACCTCGGAAGAGACTGGGTGAAAATGCTGTGTTCGAACTGTCCAACATCACCTCTCAATTCTTTTCAGTCTGGCTTCCATTCCTCTCACAAAACCGACGATGAGCCACCAGCGATAATTTCGCCTTTAATGCGTTCTCTGTCCTCGACAACATTGCATCAATATTTATAGTTGACTATCAAATCTTTCTCCACTACCCTTCTTTACATGGTTCCATTTGCACCTTTCATACCATTGCTTTATAACTCCAGCAATCCACAGGGAACTGATGATGCCATTGGGCTAGTAATCCAGAATCTGAAGTCAATATTTTTGGGGCATAGGCTCAAATCCTATCATTGCTGATAGTGAAATTTGAGTTCAATCAAAATCTGGAATGATCAAAAAAGCTAGTCTAATTGCAACTGTGTAATCACTGTTGATTGCTGTAAAAACCAGTTTGGTTCACTGATGTCTGCTCTGCCCTACATGTGACTCCAGGCCCACAGCAATGTGATTGACTTTTAATCACTCTGGGCAATTGAGGCGGTCAATAAATGTTGCCCACCTAGCAACGCCCACATTCCCAAGTATAAATTATTAAAAACAATATCTTTTTCTACTTTATACACTTGCTTTTGTATGACCTGTCGTTCATCCTTCAGCACTCTATATGCATACTGTCTCACATAAACACTATTTCTAAGTATTGTTTAGTTTCTATTTACATGTTTACTGTATTAATCTCTACTTCTGTGCCACCACCCTCAAATCTGCGACTGTGACTATGCTGTCTGACTTATCATTGACAAGAACACTGCTATCCCATTCAACTCTGGTCAGTAATATTGACATTTAGCCCCTAAATACACCTCTCTGCTTAGTTGTTTGCTCAGGGTAAGCCCAGCTAATGAGCAACATTAGTGTCTATTTAATTCTGAGCTGATCCGAGCTTCAAACCCCATGTCCAATCCACCATTGCCATAGCCTATTTCCATTTTGACAATCATGTTTATATCTGTCCTCCCCTCACCCCACAGCCACTAAGATGCTTAATAATCTTTGTCAACATGAGAACTTTTAATGATCTCATTGTCCTTTTTAACATCATCCTACAGAAACTCCAATAATCTAGGACTTGCCCTTCAGTGTATTCTTTTCACTCTTCAGCTGTATCGTCACTGACCTCCACTGGTTGCTAATTCTACAATACCTTGGTCTTGATATACCCAAAATAGTCTAGCAATCCCTTGATGGACTTATTGTGTCCACATGATCTTCCTATATCTTTCACTGTTTGAACTCTGAATTATGGGAAGAAGAAAACAGCTGCAGGATTGATATGTGATGTCAAGCTGTGGAAAAATGCCCTCCCCCACCCCTTCCCCATGTCCCCTCATTCCTCAGACTCATCCTTGGAGGTCATGATGCACACAGTCAGTACCAGAGAAAAAGTCTACTTCCATGATGCCAGCAGCAGGTGGCCACACAGCTTCACCGAACAGACAAATAGCAGAGGTGGTGACCAGTAAGAGTGAGGTGCTCAGGGCCTGGTGCCACATCTAACAGGATGAGTAGTGTAGACCATTCAGTTGAAAGCTTCTACTGTCTCATTCCACTAATCTTATCCAGCATGGCATTCCTCTGACTGATTTATTTTCTTAGCACATACTATGCATACACACCAACTTCATCCTCAAATCTCCAGTTCAACAGACAACATTAAAATTTACTCTTGTCCTACTGCCCTCTCATACACATTCCTCGCATATACCCTCCTCAAATGTTCATCTTCAATTCTTAGAGAGAAGTTCACTTCTCACACTCATAACTCTGTCCTTTCTCACTGTAAAAGAGAGCCTACAATTCCAAGGAGAGGTAGCGAATGAGTGGTGGACTGCAGCTATGGCCACACCGACTGCAGTGGAGGAAAGATTAGTGATCAGCAGGGTGGCATGATACTGATAGGGAGATGGGATATGCATCAGAGACCTGGTGATGGCACTAAATGATACATTGCTACTTGAAGCTTTATTGTTGCTCATGTTAAATTATAAGACCAATACACTACCCTTATTCTTGTGATCTGCACAATGCTAACTTGGAACCCTGATTCGCCTACTATCAGCACTAAAATGAAATGTTACAGAATTGAGACAAATAGATCATTTTCAGGTTGGCAAAATATAACTGGTGGGGTGCCATAGGGATCATAGGCCTCGACTATTTACGATATATTTTAATAGCTTGGATGAAAGCGCAGAGTGCATTGTACACAAAATTGCTGATGTTGAAAAGATAAGTGGGAAAATAAATTATGTTATTACTTCTTTTAGTTTAAGTTTTAATTCCCATTTCTGCTCTCCCACAGGTGCAGTGATGATCCTGACAGAGAGGGAGGCCAAGGAGTTCTCAGAGGAAACACCAGCACATGACTCCTGTGCGAGCTCCACCACTGCAGGTACAGACACCTCTGTGAGTACACCAACACAGATAAGTAGGGTAGCACATGATAAAGAGCACAATACGTGTGAGCAGGAGCAGAAGCTGGAACAGAGATAGCAGTGGAGAGTGCCTGTTGGAGGACAGAGAACACTCAAAGTTCTGCTCAGCTGGACACATGCCATGCCTGAGGCATTATCAAAAAAGGGGCACTTGTGGAACAACAATAGGAGATGTGTGTACTTCTGTAGTATTTCCAGAGACCATACATACTACTGTGCAGATTATGGAGGAATCCAAATCTAATATGTGTGCCATATTGTCTCAAGTATTTGTACTGATTACCATCTCTGTTTTAAGATTTGTTAATCTCCTGGAGAATCAGAAACAGTAGGTCACTGAAAGCGTGCTGGTTTACACCAGTATCCTGCACACTCTGGTAAGTTTACAGAATATCTTGACAGCAGAATGCTACACTGTTGTGCATCTAAGTGCACTTCTACTCTTGGCTAGCAGGGAAGTGCAGACAGGCTGTGATAGAAAACAATAAGAAAGGGGACTCTCCTCTTACTGCCCCTACTTCTCAGCTTCTACTCCCCACCCACCACCCTCTGACCCATAGGTGCAGTCTTGAACGGACCATCATGCAGTCCAGAAAACAGAGGGTGCTGACCAGAGGCATGTTATGGATCACAGCAAGAAATCAAGCAGCCTGCCTCTACCTTTCCTGAATTCACAGGGGTAGCATCACATAGAAGTAATAGAAAGCATAAAAGGAAAGCGGTTTAATACCACGAAGGGATTCATTTGGGTGCTTATTGTAGTATTACATTTTCATAAATGCTTTATGTCAAATGAAAGAATCGTTTATGTGTACTGTTCAGTGAAATGGTCTTTGCTTTGCTGTAACTCCAAGTGATCCTGGTCAGTTTCAGGTTAAGGGGTCAGCTTCAGTGAGGAAAGGCTTGAATATGATTGCTGACTGGATGACTACAGGAATGTAGTTGGACAGATTGAGATGGAAAGATTGCCAATTTCAGAAGAACATTATGAGAAGAAAATGTCACAGTTGTCTGGAGCAGGCTTGTCTGTGTCTACAGGCGCCAAAAGCACATCAGGATGTTTGGCCAAAGATGCCAGATGCAGTCCAGCATCCTCTTGCACTACCCCCAGTCCTCCAGTCCCCTCTGCAGTCACTGTGGTGTGAAGTGCCCAGCGGACCATAATAATTCTGGAATCCTTGGCATACTTTCTCTACTAGCAATACGCATTGATTACAAAATCTGCTGCAGCAACTCACCAATGCACCTTTGGTAGCACCTTCCAAATCTGTGACCTGTGTCTTAGAAGGGCAAGGGCAAGAGATGCATGGGAACACCATCACCTGCAAATTCCCTCCGAGCCACCCACCAAACTGTCTTGGAACTATATTGCCATTCCTTCACTGGGTCAAAATCCTTTCTTCCACACTATGGGTGTCCTTACAACCCAAGGACTGCAGCATTTCAAGATAGCTCACAAATGAAACAAATTCCCAAGATCTCAAAACGTTTTAATTTCTTTCAACGTTTCTTTCCTCCTATAGTCTTCAAGCTGTTTAAACATATTACCTAATCAATACTTTCTCATTTATCTCACCTTCTGTAATGCGCTTTTCAGTCTGGTGGTGTATGTACAAAGGGGATTGACTTTTCAGCTAGGCATATTTAAAACAAGAATAATTGGGGAATCAAAATCTTCAGGAAGATTGTATGAAAATAATTAATTATATGAAACTCAATATTAAGTTATTCCCCTGGGAATTGCCACTTTAGTGCTTGGCCATTACCTTTGTCCTTCATTTAACATATTTAGTCTGATGCTATTTAACAACTGACTGAAAAGGAAGACTATGTAATGTATGGGTTGCAGTACTGGAGACATATTGTAGTTTTTGATTGTAACAGTTGGTTGATTACTGAATATGTTTTCTGTTCTGCATCAAAACTTGTTTTCAGGTTAGAAAATTGATTCTTTTGGACCCTAAGAAACGTCTAACTACCTATCACGCCCTGCAACACCCCTGGGTAATAGGAAAAGCTGCAAATTTCATACATATGGATAATGCACAAAAGAAACTTCTGGAATTCAATGCTCGTCGCAAACTAAAAGTAAGAGTTAATAAATCATAAAAGCTAAATTCCATCCTACATTTCCCAGTTTTGTATCATCTGTAACCTTGAAATGATGTCCGCTGAAACTGGAAACCTCAAGAATCCAATCGGAACATGGGATGAAACCTAGGAATGGAGAGTTTGTGAAAGTGGTGTCTGGAGCGGTCTTGAAGTGGCTGTTTCCATCCTATTTCTGATGTATATTAATTAACTTGATATCAAAACCTAATGTAAACAAATCAAATTGGCTTTTATGAAAGAGCTCACATTTACATTGTCCATAGAATCTCCCAAAAAAGACTCACAATCAATGGTACATTTTGAATTGCATGCACTGTTGTAATGTACAAAAAATTGCATTAAACACACAAACAGCAAGAAGTTAAATGACCAGATATGTTTTAATGATATTGTACAAAGCATAAGTCGTTGACAAGATTCAGGAGATAAATAGTGTGATCTAACATCTATTTCCAGACTCTCAGCGATGTGGATGACTCTTAACTGCCTCTGAAATGGCTGAAAGGCGCTTAGTTGTATCAATTGCTATAAAGTCTAAAGAAAGAAAGCAAACTGGATGGATCATTTAACATCAGCCAAGACATTAGATATGACAACAGAAAACTGTCCCATTGACCCTGCAAAGACCTCCTTATCAATATGTCGGGATTTGTACCAAAATTATCCCATATATTAATTAAGCGTCAGCCCGACATATCTGTAGTCACAGAATGATATCTTACAATCTCCCAGAGGATATCATCAAAACATCAAGACAAACCACCAAAAGCAAAGCACAATGACAGACAGTCAGAAAGGAGTTGCTCTGGGAGTCCTTAATTTTGATTCCAGACTCCATGAAATCTCATGGCATTAAGTCAAATGCATTAGCAAAGCTTCTGCTAAGTACCACCTATCACCCTCCCACAGTAGACCCACCCCTCCCACAAAACCCTCAGCTGATGAATTGGCAGTTCTCTGTATTGAAACCACTTGGAGGATGCACTTAGGTTGGTATGGATACCAAGTATAATTCAGTGCCCATCATCAAGAGTGTCTTTGTAGTGCAACTGCTGATGAAGCCATCCAAGTGCTAAAGATATAGTTACTACGCTGTGTCTGTGGCAAGTGGTTAGGGAACAAAAGTGAAAAGTCTATTTGACCTCGTCCTCATCAATCTACCTATCAGAGATGTGACCGTGCATGATGGTATCGGTAGGAGTGACCACTAAACAATCATGTTGGAGATGAAGTCTTATCTTCACATTAAGGATATCCTCCATCGTTTTGTGTGGTGTTATCACATGATGAATGGGACAGATCTCAAGCAGATCTAATAACTCAAAACTGGGCATCTATGAAGCACTGTGGCCATCAGCAGTAGCAGAATAGTATTCCACCATAATTTGTAACCTCGTGATCTGGCATATCCCCTACTCGACCAATACTATCAAGCCGGGGGATCAATGCTGATTCAATGCAGACAGTAATAGGCATGCCAGGTTCAGCATACGTTTAAAACGAGATCTTACTTGGGTGCCAAACGGCACAACAGCATGCAAAAGAAGAGGCAAATCTGTGAAAATAATTACTACAGAGGGTCATAGAGATTGGTTTAGATAAGTGTATTCAAAGATGAGATAGATTTTTAATCAGTAAGAGAATCAAGGTTTATAGGGAAAAGGCAGTAAAGTGAAGTTTAGTATTATCAGATCAGTCATAATCCCATTGAACAGTGGAGTAATCTTGATGCGAACACCACCAGCCTCAGGTTCCCCTTCAAGTCACTCTCCACTCACACTTGGAAATATATTGCTAATTTTTCCGTGTCGCTGGTTCAAAATTCTGAAACTCCCTCCTTAATGGCATTGTGGGTCTACCTATACCAAATAGAATGCAGCTCACCATCACCTTCTTTAGGGCAATGAGTGATGGGCAATAAATCTTGGCCCAGCAAGCAATGCCCACATACCCTGAATTAAAAAAAAAGAAAGTTCTCCTTATTGTGACAATGCTGTAGATTTAAGAGGTTATTTTGTCCTGGTTTCTTTTGAGAGATTGAATGAGAGGCGAAAAGCTGACTAGTAATACCACTTCAGTAAACAGCTTGGGAGGCCCTGGTGTTTTTTAACAATCTGCATGGGTGTGGCCAGCTCTGACAGTTTAGGATTTCTGGATTTTGGTTTTTCAGTAACATCAGAAGCTACCAAGGTCTCAACAGAATTGGAAGCTTCAATGAATGTCTCCTGGCTGCTATTCTCTCTGAATTTTCTCTTCATATTTTTTCCTCCTGGACTGGAGAACTGCATGTAAGACCCTGTGTCTGAATTCTCTTCTTTTTTGCCAAGGGATATGTTTATGGAATGTTATTATATTCGAACAGTAATTATATTAGTAATTGTTACTCGAAGTTATTCTAAATTCTTCTTTCTTTGGTTGTATTTTAACTGCAGTGTTTAAATAAATTGTGTTTTGCTTAATGTAGAGTAGTTTGACCAGTTGCTTGCATCTGGAACAGACACTTTACGTTTGCCTTTAAAATAAGAAAAGGTTGGGCCTGGGCTACCTTCTTAAAATATTTTGAGGGAATCTGGCCTGGTCCATAACATTATTTATGGAAGCAGTTCAGACAGTATTTATTGGACTGTTGCCCAGAATGGGTAGTTAATCTTATGAAAAAAGGTTGGACACTTGCATACATTGAAGTTTAGAAGCGTAAGAGACGACTTGATTGATTCTTTTAAGATCCTGAAGAGATTGACATGGTACATGTTGAAAGGATGTTCACTTATGTAGGAGAATCTAAAACTAAGGGTCACTATTTAAAACAAAGGTTAGTCCATTTAAGAGACAGATGAGGAAACTTTTCTTTTCTCGGCGGGTTGTGAGTCTTAGGAACCCTTACTGGAAAAACTGTGGAAGCAGAGTTTTTAAATATTTTAAAGGTGGAGGTAAATGTATTTTTGATAAGCAGTGGAATGAAATGTAATCGGGGTAGATGGAAATGTAATCAGATTAGCGATTATCTTAGTAAATGGTGGAGCAGGTTCAAGAAGCCAAGTGGCCTACTTGTACTCATAATTTGTTATTTCATAATATTTACAAAGAGAAAAAATAATTAATTATTACATTCAATGGCCTTTTATTATTAAGCTGAGATGTTAAACCAACTTCTCCAACACAAACCTGTGCTGAAGCTACATTGCTCTCATCATTTGTATAACCTAATTGACAAGAGACTAGTCCAATCATAGTTGTTGAGCAGCTTCAAGCGGCAAGTGCTACCTACCTGAAACTAACAACAAAGGGAGGCAAAAGTCATCTTGGAGCTTGCTGCTGCCCTACCTATTAAAGCAGGCAGCACCAGAGAATGACTTAGAGGTGGAATGAGGTAGTCTGTAGGCCATTCAGCCCATCAAGCCTACTTCACCATTCAATAAGATCATAGCTAATTTGATTGTCATCTCAAATCCATCTGCCCAACTACCCCTGGTAGTGTTTCACCCCTTACTTAAAAAGAATCTGTATTTTTCTGACTTAAAAACATTCAAACGCTCTGCCTCCACTTCCTTTACAGCAAGAGAATTCCAAAGTTCAAAACTTTCAAAGAGAATAAAAAGCTAATCTCTGTTTTAAATGGGTAAACCTTGACCTTTGAACAATGACTCCTAGTTCTAGATTCTCCCGTAATCTACCCTTTCAAGACCCCTCAGATTTTTATATGTTTCAGTCAAGTTGCCTCTTGCTGTGCAAAACTCCAGCAGGTACAAGTCTGGTCTGTCCAATGTGTCCCCGTAAGACAACCTGCCCATTCCACATATTAGTCTTGTTATTTTTTATTGAACCATCTCCAAGGCATTTACAACCTTCCTTTGATAAGGTGACAAGTACTGTGCACAGTACTACAGATGTGGTCTTACCAGTGTCCTATATGACTGAAGCATAATCTCCCTGTAGCACACCATTCATTACATCTTGTCAATGTGAAAAAGACCCATTTATACCGATTCTCTGCTTTCTATTAGCTAGCAAATCTTCTGTCCATGCTAATGTGCTATGGCATACACCTTGAGCATTTATTTTCAATAATAACCTTTGATGTGCTATCTTACTGGATGCCTTCTGGAAATCAAAGTACAATGCATACTTTCATATTCATATTTTATCCTCAACACCTGTTACCTACTCATTAAACTCCATTAGATTGTTCAAAGATGTTTGTTCAAACAAAACCATGTTGACCTTAACTTGAGGTTATCCAAGTACCTGTCTACAACATTTTTAACAATAACCTCTGACAGATTTTCTATGACAGATGTTAAGCTAACTGGCCTGCAATTTCCTGTGTACTGACTCCCTTTTTGAATAAAGGAGTTAAACTCAGTTACTGGATAAAAATATTAAAATTATGTTTAGAAATAAGTGACTAACGTCTTAGCACTCTCTTTAAAGCTTGTTCCTAATATCCCTTCTCCCCTTTCCACCAGCCCTTCAAAATTCAAAACCATTCCAAAGGCACCAGGATCCTGAGATGTCTTCTGGTGTAGCAATTTTCAAAGCTTGCCACACCAGTTTCCAAGCCCACAGGCCTGTGAAAATCCCAGACATCAACTTCATTTCTCTCTACACAGATCCTGCCTGATTGTGTATTTCCAGCTGAATATTTTGTCTTATATCAGGTGTCAAGCATCTACTTTATTTTAGTTTTTGAGTAAATGCTTAAATCAGTTTCCCATTTTTACACTATAGTTTGTCAAATGTGGTGGAAGAACATTCTAGTGATTGCTGTGTCAGCTTGTATTACATATTTAATATGTAGTCTTACAGTAACTCAAAAGGAATGAATGTTTTCTGCTCAACAGGCTGCGGTAAAAGCTGTGGTAGCATCTAGTCGCCTTGGAAATACAAATAGCCAGAACAACATTGAAAGTAGCAGCACTGATCCCAATGGCTCATCTTTCCAGCAGAACGAAGCAGTGGAAAATGAAAACTTTCAAGATTTACATAGAACAGTGGAAGATGATGTGAATCAAAACACTGGTCATGATAGTGCTGCTAATGCTGGTGATGCCAGTAGTGATGTCAGTGCTCATACCAACACTGGTGATGCCAGCAGTGATGTCAGTGCTGATGCCTACATTGGTGATGTCAGCGGTGATGTCAGTCCTGATGCTGTCACCATGTTAGAATCACAGGAAAGGTCAAAAGAAACACTGCAAGAACAGGAGTTCCCTGACGATATAGAAAAGGTTGATGAATAGGGTGATGTACGTGAACTGGGAATTGTGTGCAGTGCTTCACAGAAATGTTATCATAGAAAGAAGCAGAACCAACATTACAATTTATCTTTGAATGTAGGTTTAAAAAAAAAGCAATTTTACTGCTCCAGTTGTTTAAACTGTACGCTGTGCATGAGATGCCAGTGGTGTGGCTTTTGTGTTGATTTAATAATGGCTGTTAATTGGTGTACAGGCTTGTAATGATGAAAGTTCCACGATATTTTCTTGCATGCAATTTGCTTCAGCAGTTTGAATGGCTTATATAGTCTGAAGCCTGAATGGCTTGTATAGTCCAAAAGATTAGTTCAAGTTGCATCAGCTTTCAGCTGAATTTTAGTCCCTTATTAGCTTGAAGGTTTCATTTAAATTTGCCTATTTTCTATTTTGCGTATAAAGTTGTGCTGATGTCAATCAGTACAGTATTCATTAAATTAATTTCTTCACTGTTACATTCTCTACTTATTAATAAGATTTACAATAGTTTAAAATCATTTTTGTTATAGTTTTGCACTATAGCTTTTCTCATCCATAGACATTTAAAGAGAAAACTTTAAGGACGTTTGAGCTGTTCAAACTGTTTAATTTGAATAATACAGTGCATTATTCCATATCCTAAATCCTTCCATGTCAATAATGCATATAATGTAAAGGAACAGAAGCACTGATAGTTTACTGACGGTTTACAATGAAAATGTTGGTGGCATTGTGGCTCAGTGGTTAGCACTGCTACCTCACGACGTCAGGGACCTGGGTTCGATTCCACCCTCAGGCAACTGTCTGTGTGGAGTTTGCATGTTCTCTTTGTGTCTGTGTGGGTTTCCTCTGGGTGTTCCAGTTTCCTCCCACAGTCCAACGATGTGCAGGCTAGGTGGATTGGCCATGCTAAATTGTCAATAGTGTTCAGGGATGTGTAGATTAGGTGGGTTATAGGGGGATGGGACTGGGTGGGATGCTGTGAGGGTCAGTGTGGACTTGTTGGGCCGAAGGTCCTGTTTCCACACTGTAGGGATTCTGTGAGTTCTATAGCTGTCAAAAGATCAAAACTGCTAATTGGGCAAAGTGGTTTTCTAATGTTAACACTGGAAATTACATTAAACTAATAAAAATAGCATAAATCACTTGCAACAGACCACACACAAATGTAAGTGTTGTGTGTGATACTTTTCTATATTTATTTTGAAAACAGGCATATTTATTTAATGGGTGATAATCTTTGTGTTTTCAGATTGTATTGATATTTTGCTTTTACACTTTCTCAGAATTATTAATGTGAATGGAATCAAACTGGAAATATATTATTAATATTCTTCTGAATACAAAATCTATTGAGTGTCTTTTTCAGTATTTGTAATGCATGCTACACAGAATAAAATTCTAGAATATTTTTTAACATACTGGCATGCAGAATAGGTGCACCGAATAATACATGGTTAAGAAAATCAAAAACAGTTTTTCCTACCCAGTTCCAATCACAAAGTTTATTTGTATTTCTACTCGTGGTCAAAGTGTTGCATTCAAGAACTATGTTAATGATTAAATGTACTGCCTGAGATTATGCCTGATATTTGATTTTTGTTTCACAATTTGGGAAAATTGTTTCTGTTCATATCAAAAGCTTTGTGACATCACATAATACTTTCAACTCAAGGGTTTTCTGATAAAATGACCTTTACAAAAACCTCTTACCTGTAGAACAGTTCCAAAGCAATTCCAGCATTAAATGAGAGACTTAATAGAATTATATTTTTCAATATTTTATGGTGGATATTTTTATTCATTGGAAGAAGTTGGAAAATTCAAAATTACTTCACCTAGCTGACAATAAAAAGTCGTTGTGACAGCTGGGCATACCATTGAGGAAGAAGAGAAATTAAGTTTCCCTGAATTTTGGGTGCAAATTGAAATGTGTGCATGTCCATTTGTATAAAAGAAGTAAAATTTATGTAACCACCTTATCTGTATGATTGTAGTAAGAGCTCATGTGCCTACAATACTGCATGTCAATGTTTCCAGCACAGCAAGATCTGTACACAACAGGAGGACCAGCGGTGGGGTTTGCGGACCATGTGGTACACACAGTCTGTTCTTCTTAAATGTAAACAGCTCTTAAAGGTAAAAAAATTATTGCAATTATATAAATTCTTGCAAACTAATCACCAGGGCAGACAGAGAGGATGAAAAGCTTGATGTATTAGTAGTGCATTTGGGCAAAAAAGACAGGGGACAAGGAGAGTGGGTGAGAGATTAGTGCAGTGATCGGGAGATCCTCAGGTACTACCCTTGTGAATGTGGCCAAAGAGGAGAGTCTAGACCTCTGTATCTGGTTGCATAGTGACATTATAGGTCTAATGAATTGGCATGGACTATTGCAGACCATGTGGGGTAGGAACAAATACATTGTTGTTAGGCTTGGCACCCAATCCACCACCTTCAATTTTCAATATCTTAATTATTGATGCAGTATAGCAATGGTGTGAATCATTTACATGACACACCGCAGAAATTCACTAAGGCTCCCATGACAGCACCTTTCAAACCTGTGACCTCTATCAACTGGAAGAACAAGGGCAGCAGGTGCATGGGAACTACAGCACCTGAAGATGCCCCTCCAAGCCACACACCAGTCTAACTTAGAAGTATATCCAGGTCCTTCATCGCAACTAAATGAAAGTTCTGGAACACTCTGCCAAACAGTACTCTAAGTGCTGCACCAGATGGATTGCAATTGTTAAAAAGGCAGCTGACCACCACCTTAACATAATTGATATTGGGTAAAGTGGAGTAGCAGATAAACAGGAGAGTGAAGAAGGCATTTGGTGTGCTTGCTTTTATTGGTCAGTGCATTGATATAGGAGTTGGGAGGTCATGTTGCGGCTGTACAGGACATTGGTTGGGCCACTTTTGGAATACTGTGTTCAGTTCTGGTCTCCTTGTTATAGGAAGGATGGGTTCAGAAAAAACTTACAAAGATGTTGCCAGGGTTGGAGAGTTTGAGCCATAAGGAGAGGCCGAATAGGCTGGGATCATTTTCTGTGGAACATCAGAGGCTAAGGGGTGACCTTATAGAGGTTTATAAAATCATGAGGAGCATAGATAGGGTGAATAGTCAAGGTCTTTTCCGCAAGGTAGGGGAGTCCAAAACTAGAGGGCATAGGTTTAAGGTGAGAGGAGAAAGATTTAAAAGGGACCTACGGGGCAACATTTCCATGCATAGGGTTGTACGTGTATGGAATGAACTGCCAGACAGAGGAAGTGGTGGAGGCTGTTACACTTACAACTTTTAAAAGGCATCTGGATAGGTATATGAATAGGAAGGGTTTGGAGGGATAAGGGCCAAATGTTGGCAAATCGGACTAGATTAATTTAGGCTATCTGTTTGGGGCATGGACGAGCTGGAGGAAAGGGTCTGTTTCCATGCTGTACATCTCTATGACTCTGATAAAGGTTGGCCTTGCCAGCAATGGCCAGGTCTGAAGAAAGAATATTTTCTTAAAAAGGAGCTACTCTAGATGGATGCACAACATTCTTATCTCTGGTGCGATTAAGATTTCCCATTTTTAATTTTAACTAGTAGTATTTAAAGGGACAAAGAAGATGAAGTCACCTGCAAGCTGTATGGTCGATACTGGTGCTATTCAACAGGACACAGACAACAGCCTGTTACTGCATGCCGCTATTCAGGGTGTAAGCTTGGAAATTTGGCAAGGCAATTAGTCTAATTTGCAATAGCATTTAACTACAATTTACTGTTAATGTTTATTTCAGTCTTAGAGCTGAATAAGCTCCCAACTGGAAAGGTAGTTGCAATCTGTTAATCAGGAGCTAGGCTGACCTAACAAAAACATAAGTTGCTGGAAAAGCTCAGCAGGTTTGACAGGATCTGTGAAGAGATAATCAGAGTTAATGTTTTCGGGTCTGGTGACCCTTCCTCAGAACCGTTCTGAGGAAAGGCCACTGGACCCAAAAACATTAACTCTGATTTTCTCTTCACAGATGCTGCCAAACCTGTTGAGCTTTTCCAGCAACTTCTGTTTTGTTCCTGATTTACAGCATCCACAGTTCTTTTGGATTTTAGCTAGTTTGACCTAGTTTTATTCTAGCCAGCAGTGCTGAATTCTCTGTAGAATTTCAGCAAGTATAAATGCAGGTGGTTTTGCAAAGTACATGAAGTCAGCAGCAAAGAGATGCTTATCTTGTGTGGCTAGGCACAGAGTACAGGCTTTGGAATTTAATTAGTGCTGTCAGGGAGGAGGTCCAGTCTGAGCAACTGATGGATTAGCAATAAGAAGTAACAAGTGAATAACTGGTGAGAGTTTCAGAACTTCAAAAGTTTCAAAAAAGCACAAGAAAATAGAGAGAGCTATCTTCTATTTCTTCTGGACTGTTGCTGGAAAAGTGTGGTTTCACAGGGAAATGGTTAAGTGGCTGGCTAGTGAGTGTTTCACTTGTTTTCTTTGATATCTAAAGAAAATGCACTGCAGTCACACTTAACAAATGCTTAACTCAGAGGAAATCCCACACTGGTCGACAGCTCCAATATTCCCAATCCCGGTGGCACCAAAGCTTGGGAGTGGATGCTGCCAGGATTGCATTCAGCCCCAGGATGCATGCGCCAATGGATCCCAGAACCAAGGTCCGTTGGAGCATTAGGCTGGGAGTGCTTGTACATCCTAGGAAAAGGGTTGGGAGTTGGGGTTGGGGATGGGGATTGGTGGGGAGCAAAGGGGTGAGTTTTAAAGTTCAGGTATGGAGGAAGGAGTCTGAAGTGCAAAAGATACTCTCCAAAGTTAGCACCGCCCATCTTTTAAAAATCTTATTTGAAAAAGGCCTGACCATGCAAGTACAATAATGTTAGACCATAAGGTACAGGAGCAGAATTAGGCCATTCAGCCGATTGAGTCTGCTCCACCATTTGATCATGGTTGCAATGTTTCTCAACCCATTCTTCTGTCTTCTCCTTTTGCTAACCCAAGAACCCATCTGCCCCTGTCTTAAATACACTCAATGACTTGCCCTCCCCAGCCTTTACAGCAATGAGTTCCACAGATTTACCACACTCTGACTGAAGAAATTCCTGCACACCTCATTTCAAAAGGGTAATCCTTGACTCTGAGGCTGTGTCCACAGGTCCCAGTCTCTCCTACTAGTGGAAACATCTTCTCCATGTCCATTCTAACCAGGTCCCTCAGTATTCTGTAAGTTTCATTGAGATTCCCCATGTCCCCCATCCTTCTAAATGCCATCGAGTACAGATCCAGAAGGCTTAATCATTCCTCATATGACAAACCCTTCATCCCCAGGATCATCTTTGTGAACCTCCTCTGGGCTCCCTCCAATGCCAGCACATTATTCCTTAGATACAGGGCCCTAAACTGCTCATAATATTCCAAATGCAATCTGACCAGTGCCATTTACAGACTCAGCAGTACATCTCTGCTCATGTATTCTAGCCCTCTTGAAATGAATGTTAACATTGCATTTGCCTTTGTAATTGACAACTGTACCCACATGTTAGTCTTGACAGAATCCTTAAGTAGGACTCCTAACTCTCTTTGTGCTTGAGATTTCCAAATCCTATCCCCACTTACAAAATAGCCTATCCCTCTATTCTTCCAACCAAAGTGCATAATCTTACAATTTCTCTCTGCCACTTATTTGCCTAATCTCCTTTATCCAAGTCCTTCTGCAGCCTCCCTGCTTCCTCAATACTACCTGTCCCCCTAGCTATCATTGAGTCACCTGCAAACTTAGCAACAATGCTGTCAGTTCCTTTGTCCAGATCGTCAATGTATAACATGAATGGGTGTGGTCCCAACACTGACCCTGTGAAACTCCACTAGTTACCAGCTACCATCCTGAAAAAGTTCCTATTGTCTCCACTGTGCCTTCTGCCAGCCAATCAATCATCTATCCATGCCAATACCTTGCCCCTAATACCATGATTTCTTATCCTATTTTGCAGTGTCCTGTGTGCCACCTTGTCAAAAGCCTTGTGGAAACTTAAATAGATCACGTCCATTGGCTGTCCTTTGTCTAGCTTGCTTGTTACCTCCTCGAAGAATTCTAATAGATTTGTCAGGCATGACCTCCCCTTGATGAAGCCATGCTGATTCAGCCCTAATTTACCATGCATTTTCAAGCACTCCACAATCTCATCCTTAATGATGGACTCTAAAATCTTACCAACAACCAACGTCAGACTAACATGCCTATAATTTCCCATCTACTGCCTCCCTCCCTTCTTAAACAGGAATGTTTCATTAGCCATTTTCCAGTCCTCTAAGACCCACCCTGACTCCAGTGATTTCTGAAAGACCACACCCAATACCTCCACACTCTTGTCAGCTTTCCCCTTCAGAATCCTGGGGTGCAGTCCATCCGGTCCAAGTGATTTATCCACCTTCATTTCCCTAGCATTTTCTTCTTAGTGATTGCCACTAAATTCACTTCGGCCCCCAATTCTCTTGAAAGTTCTGGTATACTTTTCTGTCTTGCACATGAAGACTGATGCAAAATACCTGTTCAATTCCTCCACCATTTCTTTGTTCCCTATTACTACTCCTCTAGTGTCATTTTCCAGCAGTGCAATTTCAACAGTTGCCTCTTTTATTTATATATATCTAAAAAAAACTCAGTTTTCTTATATTACTAGCTAGTTTACCCTCATATTTCATTTTCACCCTGCCTATTGCTTTTTTTTAAATTTGCCCTTTGCTCATTTTTAAAGGCTTCCCAGTCTTCAGGCTTCCCAATAATCTTCTGAGTCTCTGACTCAGCCATGGTTGCCGCAGCCTCCCCTTAGTATGTTTCTTCTTCCTTGGGTTGGATTTCTGCTGTGCCTCCCAAATTACCCCCAGAAACACTTGCCATTGTTGCTCCACCATCTTCCTTGCTGGGCTTCCCTTAGAATCAACTCTGGCAGGCAGCTGCCTATTTTGGCATCCACCCACCTATCACCGTAGTCAGCTAAAGGTGTGGGTAGAAATTGATGGCTTGGGCACCAATCTTATTTTACATGTTCCCTTGCCCAAAGCACACTCTGCAGAGCCATTTAAAATCCAGCCAAATGTCTCAGTGGTGCAGTGCAAGCTCAGATAGTTGCTACCATGCAGGCTCAGACTGATGCCACTTTGAATGTTGATTTCAGTGCACAAAAATATATGCGGTCCATCAAGTAGGTTATTGGGATGCTGATGTGCCACCTCATGAGACTGGAGTCATTGCCCTGGAGAACCAAACCCTCTGTCATCTCTCAAGGGTACTGCATTCAATTTTCCACAACTGCCACTCTTGTCAACACCCTTTCTGGTTCTCCTTAACCAGCCAGCTCAGACTGTTGTTACCAATTCTGGGGCGATGTAGCCTAAAGCCAGCTCACAGTTACATGATATTGTCTTGCAACTTCATTCACAGTGAACATCCCTTCCATCAGCTATTCTGCAATCATCGAGATAGCACTACATAGGAGTATATGGACATGCAAGACATCTATAAGGCAGGCTATGAGAGAATGCATGAAAATGAATTGTCCATTGAAGTTTGGATAATTTGATGAGTTGCTGATTGAAGGTATTTTGTGAAGGTTTTTTTAGTTGATTCTTATTATGGAATGTTGCCCAAGTGGGAATTGTGAAATGAATGTGATGTTGGTCAGTGATGGGTCCATGCTAAGATGGAGTTGTTGATATGGAAACAAACCTCTCTTAATTTGCTCGTGCATATTCCATCCACTTACATGGGACCCAGGATATATCCTTCTTTGTCTCTCCCCGACTATGCTTCCTCCTCACAGAACTTCAGTTCCACCCCACCCCACTCCCCACCCCTTTACCTTCTCTGTTCAGTTCCTTGGTCCTATTGCAGACCACAAGGCACTGAACAATAATTTGTGAAATGGCTTTGATTTGGCACAAGTCCTAATCTTTGATGAGAAATGCACGGATTTGTGGTCAGCAGCTGCGTGGTCCTAGTTTGGAATCCTGACATCACAGCAGCTGTATAATATTTGTGTAATAGTTGCTTTCTAATATCATAGATTCAAAGCCTCTGCATATCCCAATTTTGCTGCAATGCCACATAAACCTCACAGAAAAAGGCCAGCAAACAATTGCTTTCCAAGAAAAGGCAGTAGACTCCATATTGATTGAATTTCTAGGCCCTAGACTTTAACCTGTTCATTAGATCACTTAAAGAGTTACCTCTAGTCTAATTGTAAATTAATCTCACCAATTATATCAATAAAACCATAACAAATAAGAACAGAAATAGGCCGTTTGGCCTCAAGCCTGCTACAACATTCATGACGATCATGGCTGATCCAATACTCCTCAGGTTTACTTTCCTACCCGTTACCCATAACCCATAACCTTTGATTACGTATTGGTACCTAGGGTAAGTTGCAAGCAAGCCTGTTGGCATTGCTCGACCGAGAAATAATAGATAAGCCTTTATTCAACCCCACTGTTCATTTGGTCCATCATTCGACCCTAATTATTGAGTAACTGGATGTTCAATGTCTAAATTTAAGTGCTGCAAATTTTGACCACAAAATTAATAAATAATTTATATGTTGTGGCTTCATTGTTTGAGTTTATCTTTGGTCAAGCAAGAAAATGCAAATTAATTCATTCAGTAGCTTGTGCATAGCTTTAGTGGAGGCACTGCAAATGCTAATATCAGAGTTCAACAGGCCAAATTTATCCATCATTCACTCCTATACTGATAACTGATTAACAAATTCCAAATGAATGCTTAACAAGTTTAGATGAGGGAAGGATATGTCGAGTGGTCCCTATAAATTTTCTTTCCAGGGTACCTACCAGTATGTCTGATTAGATTCATCACTGCTAACCATCTCTTAAAATGGAGTAAAAATTCAAGAACAATTTTCTTCTTACAGAACATAATTACTTAACACCATTGGATCAGGATGAAATGGTTATACATAAAGAGGTATTATGTTTTATAATGCTGTGCATGACAATGGTTGATTATAATGTACGAGATCTGATAGAAAAGTGAGAGAAAATGTATTATTCTGCTGGTTTTCATTCAAAGTATTTCGTTGTGGAATGTTGTAAGATGTCAATGTAATAAAATTTCAGTAATAAAAGCTGTTTGGATATCTGACAAAGTGCTCTTTATTATTAATATTTGGGCATCAACTATGTAGAAAATTCTTTCTTGGTTATACTTTGACAACTACATTCAGGCTTGCAATTTTCTTTCTGATTTGGACTCAAATTCGTTTTATTCATTAAGTGGATGTGGACATCACTGACCACACCAGCATTTATTGCCGATTCCTGGTTGCCCTTCAGATGGTGGTGAGCTGCCTTCTTAAACCACTGCAGTTCATTTGGTGTAGGTAGACAAGAACAACAGTGGATAGCAGCTCCAAGGCTTTTGAATAGTACATTGGAGGCCTTGCTCAAGGAGGCGTAGTGGAGGAGTAATGTCATCTCTCAGGAGACCCTCCAGACAACATTCAGACGATATAGGGAGCAGGTAACTGTGGTGGACTGTGGCAAGAGTCTAGCTCTTAGGACCTGGAAACAAAGTTTCAAGATGTTTGGTGATCTCACTACTATGACTAAGGTCAATAAATACATCATCAAATGCCATAATCCTCACGAGCCTCTCACAGAATTCAATGCAGAAAATCAAATCATTCACCTACCTACATTATCTGTCAATCGTTATTCATATCTAATACTTCACAAGTTCACTTCCATCTCATACATTATGAAGAGCAGCTGTTCAGCCATTGAGTCTGCACTGACCTTCCGAAGAGCATCCCACCTAAACCCAGCCCACTAGCCCCGTCCCATAAATCTGCACCTAGCCTGCGCATCCACGGACATTACAGACAATTTAACATAGCCAATCCACCTAACCTGGACATCTTTGGTCTGTGGGAGGAAACTGCAGCACCCGGCTGAGACCCACGCAGATGTGGGGAAGAACGTGCAAACTCCACATAGATAGTCACCCGAGGTTGGGATTGAACCTGGGTCCCTGGCACTGTGAGACAGCAGGGCTAACCACTAAGACCCTGTGCTGCCCCTTTCCCTGAACACTTGCCAAGTACGGTATCTTACCAAAAGACTTTTCGTCCCTGTTTTGTGCTGCTTCTGCTCATTTTCCATCATGCTACAGGTCAAGGGCATTGCAAGATCTACATTCATGTGTGGAAGTAAATTGTGCAGATTCCTTTAAGGTAGAACAAAGTTCTTCAACAGACAGCACAACACTCCTTGTGTTCGTCAGTATCTCTTAATTCTGTAAGCCATCAAAAGTGTTTATAATCACATTAAGAGCTAGTGGGAATTAATCAGCAAACCATTTGAAAGTTGTTGATTGATTTAAATAATGCTGAGGGGAGGTCCTTTCTGCTACTGAAAGTATTCTAGTATGTGAGGTTAACATAGGATGTTAGCTGGACTGTTGAGCTCAAAATTATATTGCTGACTGATGTCATGATTTGCCAATCCTGCCTAATCCCTGTGGACCTTCTCTCCATGCGCATGGTAAGACCCTGGTTAAAAGGATGTCTGGTACAACCAGCACTAGAAGTTTGTATTCGTGCTGGACACAAACTGGCACTTGCAATGTCAAAAATATGGGTGCTTTTGCATTTGAAATTTTTGGCCTTCAGTCCAAACAGATTTTCTTAATTTGTTGAATTACAATATTTTACTCTTTGAATTTCAAATAATGTAAATTAAAATATATTAAGTACATCATGATGATCAGAATTTAAATTGATTATCTACAAACAGTCACTAATCTCATTATAATCAAAATTGTAATATTGCTTTTACACATAAAAAAAGTACATTAAATGCTGAAACACTAGGTATGGCCGCAGCCACCAAACAATATTGCACTTATCTACTGAGCTCTGCAGCACAGTACAAAGGAATTTATGTCAAGAAATTATATATGAAAATAATTATTATTTTCATTTAAATCTAAGTTTTCAAAGCATTCCGGAGTTCATTGTAGAAGTTGACTAATGAATTCGACATTGCAGAGTCCACTGCAGCCTGAGGCAGCATTCCTCGTAAATCAGTCTGAATAAAGCCAGTCAAGAGGCTGCAGTCAGGTTCATTCTTCAAAGGAATGCAAAACCATCCACATGGGTGATTAAATCCGCGAACAAAATTAGTTTGTTCCTTCCCATATTCGACACTGACTCCTGTGTTATCAAAAAGATTGTCAATTAATACAATTAGACATTTCAGAACATTACTCTCCAAAATAATTAAATGCCTTTTCAAGACTATTATATGTACTGAAAACATTCAGCTTACCATAAAGTCACATAGCTAGGAAATAATGCTAAAATGTTGCTTTTAATGATATTTTAAAAAAAAAACACTATTTCAGTTACAAGTATCAGGTGGGCCCACATAAGCTGCGTTGGAAAATTCTGGAATCTTATTGAGGAAGATATGGCAGGAGACATTGAAAATCTTAATGTAATTAGACAAGTGTCAATATCGTTCTCTGGAAAGTAAATCAAGTTGAAATAGTGGTTGGAGTTTTTTGCGGAAGAAACAAGTTAGGAAAGATGATGAAGGATCTTTGGACATACTGTACTCAGAATTTCCAAAGACATTTGACAAAGTTCCATTCCAAAGTTCACTGTGCAAAGTAAGAGCTCATGATGTTGAGTGGATAGAGGATTGTTTAGCCAACAGGAAGCAGAAACTAGGCATAAATGGGTCATTTTTGGTTTGGCAAGATATGATGAATGGAGTAGTGCAACTATTTGCAATTTATATCAATGACTTGAAGGTACCAGATGTATGGTTGCTAAATTTGCTAAAGACACAATGATTGTAGGAAAGTAAGTTGTGAAAAGGTAATAATCTTTATCCTTTGCAGCAACAAAAACAGAAGTTGCTGGAAAAGCTCAGCAGGTCTGGCAGCACAGTTCTGAGGAAGGGTCAACTCTGTTAACTCTGATTACTCTTCACAGATGCTGCCAGACCTGCTTAGCTTTTCCAGCAACTTCTGTTTTTGTTCCTGATTTACAGCATCCACAGTTCTTTCAGTTTTTATATTCTTTGCAGACTCCTTATGTGAGCAGGCAAAAATTTGGCAAATGGAGTATAATAGAAAATGAACTTGTTCATACTGGCAAAAAAATAGAAAAGCAGCTTTTTTTTTTAAAAATGGAGTGACAGAGATTGCAGAAATCTGAGGTGCAAAGAGATATAGGTATTCTGGTACACTAATCACAAAAAGTTATTACACAGGTATAACAAGTGGGCTGTGGGCATTGTTTGCTGAATCAGCATTTGGTGCCCATCCCTAGTTTTGCTTGGACTGATTATCAAAGCAAAATACTGCAGATACTGGAAATCTGAAAGAAAAACAGGAAATACTAGAGAAGCTCAGCAGGTCTGACAGCACTTGGGGAGTGAGAAACAGAGTTACTGTTTATATCCATTATGACTCTTCCTCAGACAAGTTTTGGATTTGAAACATTAACTCTGTTTCTCTCCCTACAGATGCTGCTATACCTGCTGAATTTCTCTGGCACTCTATTTTTATTGGCACGTAAGAGACAACTACATTACTGTGAGTCTCGAGTCACATGTAGGCCAAACCAGGTAAGGATGGCAGATTTCTTTCCCTTTAGGACATTAGTGAACCAGATATTTTTGTTAAAACAATGATTACACGGTCAACATTCATTAATTCCAGATTTTTTTTGAATTGAATTCAAATTTCACCATCTGCCATGGCAGGATTCAAAACTTTGTCCCCAGAATATTAGCCTGGGTCTTTTGAATTACTAATCCAGTATCATTACCACTACGTTATCATTTCCCAATATAGTAGGGAGATGACGATTGCTGTTTATCACAAAGGGAATGGAACATACAAGTAGAAATGCCTTGCTACATTTATATTGGATGTTGGTGAGACCATATCTGGAATACTGTGTACAGTTTTAGTCTCATTATTTAAGAATGATTATGAATGCATTAGAAACAGGTCAGAGAAGGTTCACTTTACTGGTAATTTGGGTGGGGTGTGGAATTATCTTACGATAAAAGATTGGACCAGCTGAGTCTGTACCTATTGGAGTTTAGAAGAATAAAATGGTGATTTTATGGAGACATAGAAGATCCTGAGAGAATTTGACAAGGGGATCCCTCTTTTCAGCACTCACCCCTATGGGAGAGACTAGAATTAGGGGATATAGTTTAGAAATATGGGGTCTTCCATTTAAAATGAAAGATGAGATTTTTATTTCTTGCAGAGGTTGTGACACTTTCAACTACTTTCCGCAGAGAGCAGTGATAGCTGGGTCATTGAATATTTTAAAGGTAAAGTAGATCATTCTTGATAAACACAGAAGTTAAAGGGTTTTCAGAAATAGGTGGGAGTGTAAAGCTGAGGCCACAAACAGATCAACTCTGATCTTATTGAATGGTGGAACAGGTTTGAATAGTCAACTCCTGCTCCTAATTTGTATGCTCATCTGTTCGTATACAGAAAATTTTACTAATGTGCAGCTTTACATAAAGCCTTATCACTGGGAGCATAGTTTGTAGAATTAACTTATTGAGTAATTATTCTTGGTATTTGAAGTTTTCGCATTCAGTGTTCAAGGTACCAGAATCAAAATGTTCTCTTTTCCATCTACCGGCAAGAAACTTGGAACAACTCAGCTACAAATATGTGAAATAGAGAACCAGCACTTGAGGATCAAAAACTAAATACCCGCATGAGAAAATTAATTTGTAAGCAGCGTTTTCCTACTAATTTGTGATTAGTGAAAAATGCATCTCAATGCTGTTTGCCTTACGAAGTTAAAACCTCCAGTAGTCTCTCCAACAGATTCAGTTGTACTACCATCGACTTCTTAAAGCTCTAGACTGCTTTATCATCGCTTTCCATCCACAATTTCACACATTTCAGAATCCAAATCTGACTGAATTGAAATCAGGCACAAGACCCATGTACCTTGAAGGAAAAGCAGAAATGAGAAGGTTGTAAACATAGCTACATATACTTACCACAAGACAGCAATCCATTCTGGTAATCTGTGGTATATGAGAAGTCGATAAACTCTCTTGGTGCAATGAGATTCCACAACTGTCCTGCTGTAGTGTAATGCATCAAACAGCAGCCCTGCTGTAAAGGGAAAAAGTTAACATTTTTAATAAGTTTTTTTCATTTTACACCTTTCTGTACAAACAAGTTGCATTTATATAGCACTTTTAATATAGTAAAACATTCAAAGGCGTTTGACAAATATTACCCACAAAATTTGACAGATGGAAGGAGGCATTAGGACAGATGGCCAAAAGTTTGGTCAAATAGGTAGACATTTAAAAAATCATTGGGTCGAATGGTGGAGACATTAAGAGAGAATGACAGAACTTAACATCTTGACAGTTGAAAAACAGCAGTAGTGGAGCACTTCAAATCGGTTGTATCAGAGGCCAGACTGGGGAAGCACAAAGATCTGGTTCATTTTAAGCCTGCTAAAAATCACAGAGAGGGAGGCGCAAGGCCATGTAGGAGTTCTGGAAACAAGGATGTACATTTTTAAATTGAGTATTGCTAGACCAAGAACCAGTGTAGGTCCGTGAGCTTGAGGATGATGGATGAATAGGAGTCGGTGTAAGCTAGGAGGCAGAGTTTGGGATGAACTAAAATTTGTTTAGGGTGGAATAAGGATACCTGGCCAGAATAACTTTGGAATAATTAAGCTTAGACATAGCAAAGGCATGGGTAGAAGTTTCAGCAGCAAGTGAGCTGACGCAGGGCTAAAACCAAGCAATTTTATCAAGGTAGTAATGCACTCACCTGGTTCTATACTTTTCTATCTAGTCTTAATCAAGAATCACCCACACTATCTTCTGTTTCCTCTCTCACATTAATGTTGACCTTAGTTGACTCCTTCACTATTTCTCAATTATCAGGCTGTTTATCTGACATCCAGTACCAGATAGTGCAGTGGCACTGGAGGAGGATGGAGGAGACAACTGTGTCAAAGGCAGACAAATATTCTTTATTTATGTGAAACTTTACCACAAAAGAAATGAAAAATAATAATTCAAGAAAATCTTACAAAATAAAGTAAATCTGTCTTCCACATCACTGTGACATTGACAATAATTCTCTATCATAGAGGTGTTGTGCATAATGGTAAAGGACTCCAGGCCAGGTTCAAGTCATATGGTCAACAAAACCTGGCATAGAAGTAATGCTAGTAAGGTGTCAAACAGGCTGATTATACCAGTTTGTAAATGCTTCCACTATCTTTTGGCAGGTCGTAAAAGTGGGAAAGTTTCCTGGTCACCAATCCTGCAGAAGACATTGGCAAACTATTACAGTACTTTGCTGATAAATGGACCAACTCAACAGAAGCCCATGGCCCAACCTTCAGAAACAGGGAAAGGAGACCAGACAGTATTATTTTTGTTTTTTTCTGGTTTTTTGTTCATCTCCTTCTTGCTCCTTCACAGTTAACTTATCAAATTAAGAAACCTTTTCTGATTCTCACCTCCCTTTCCATGGCTGCTACTACCCCTCTTTTACACCTGAATTTAATCATTTTTGATCCAGCTATTTTTGCCATCAGTGCTGCTCCATGTCACTTTCCACTGACCAAAATTATTTTTTTTTTGAGTCACGGTCCATAATAGGAGAGTTAAGTGAAGCACTTATGGTTCTCCTTTCCTTTGGGTCCCAAGTCACACTTTGTGGAATGCTTTATTTACAACACGAATAGACGTACTAATTTCTGATAGGTTCCCTTGGAGGACAAGACAGTAGGCTTAGCATATAAAAATTGTTCCAGTTATTTCTGGTAGGCTGTAAAGTTCAGATAAGACACAGTACTAATACAAAAGCAAGATACTTCAGATTGCAAAATACAGTCAAGAAGCAAACACCTGAAAAACAAGATGGCCTGGACACTCAAAAACAACAGAAACATAAATGAGGAAACAGGCCTGAAATTGCTAAACTTAATGTTGAGTCCAGAAGGCTGTAATTGCCTAATTGAAAGATGAATATGGGAAATAGGAGCATTCAGCCCTTAAGACCCAACTGAATCCTATCCTCCATTAATGAGACCATGGCTGATCTTCCATCTTACAAGATTTTTTTTGCATCCTTTGATATTTTAAATATATAGGAATCTTAAATAATCTTTGTCTTGAACTTACTCAAGTCTCTAGGGCATAAAAAAGATTCACTGCCTCCGAGTAAAGAAATGCCTCCAAATTTCAGTCCTAAATGGCCCGCCCCTTATTCTGAGACAGTGTACCCTCATCCTATACTTCTCATCCAGGGGAAATATCCTGCTCGTACTTCAAACACTAAGCATTTTGTATTTTTGGAGATAGTAGGAACTGCAGATGCTGGAGCATCTGAGATAACAAGGTGTAGAGCTGGATGAACACAGCAGGCCAAGCAGCATCAGAGGAACAGGAAAGCTGACGTTTCGGGCCTTTACCCTTCTTCAGAAAATCTTCTTTTCTGAAGAAGGGTCTAGGCCCAAAACGTCAGCCTTCCTGCTCCTCTGATGCTGCTTGGCCTGCTGTGTTCATCCAGCTCTACACCCTATTTTGTATTTTTGAATGAGATCATTTGTCATTCTTTGAAACACCAGAAAATTAGCACCCAGTCAATTTAACTTTCCATTCCAGGTCAAGCCTTCTATTTCAAAAATCAGTATCCTGAACCTTTGTTGTACTATCTCTACGCAAGTATACTCTTCCATGGGTGAAGTGTTCTGAATGTTTTCATCCTGCCATTCACATGCGCTCAAGCCAGATATTTTGTTTCTTTACTACAACACTTACCACTTCCATTGTTTTCTGCACTGTGAAATGTTTTTGTCATAACTAAAATAATTCCTCAGAGGCCAGTATCCTGTCACCAAGTCACCCTTTATTTACACATGGCAAGTCCCTGACACTGATCCAGCTGTCAGAGTGAGCCAAACCTCTGACATTCCTGTTCTTTATCAGTCAGCTAGGGCTCCCTGATTGGACCAGATTAACATCCCCAATCAGGAACTTGGTCCATCTGCTGATCTCGTTACAATCACTACATCCCTCCCCCTCTGAGTCCAAAGACATAGGCAGGTTTTTTTTTCAGCTACTACTGGTATGTTTTAGCACTGGGTTAGGTTCTTCCAACTCTGCCTCTGATACGGGCAGCATGTAATACACTGTAGTTCCTCCACTGCACCCAGAGTGTCTTGGAAGAAATTAATTCTCTCCTTCAGGTGGAAAAGATGTCGAGGCAGCAACATCTGTTGTGTCTATCTCAGATACAGAGGTATCTTCAACGTGTGACAGAGAGTGAGAACCCATAGGCAGTAAAGGAGCTAAGCAAGTTTTAGTCCCACAGCATTTGCAAATTTGCAGCTTTCATATGGTTCACATCCTTGTTCAAGATCATCGCACCTACCCAAACTTTATATGTCACTGGAATTGACCTCATGTTAACCATGCCTATTCTCTATGCAGGGCCATTCCTGCAGTTCCTACACCAAACTTTTTCCCTGAAGTAAACTATCTTTCTCGGCTAGTGGGGTCTTGTGTCTGGCATCAGCATTCCGGATGCCGTTTCACCATCCCCCGAAGGTCCATGAAGATCAGATTTAACGTGGTGCAGAGTCTCCTCTCCATTAGTAACTTTTCGGGAGCTATACCTGTAATTGCATGAGGGGTGGTCCTATAATCAATAGGAATCAGGCCAGTTTGGTATCTAGTGAAGCTGTAGGCTGTTTCCTTAAGCCTGCCTTCAAAGTTTGGACTGCTTTTTCTGCCAGACCGTTGGATGACGGATGATATGGAGCTGTTCTTTTATGTCAAGTACCATTTGACCTTAGGAAATACTCAAATTTCTTGCTGGTAAACAATGGCCCATTATCTGTGACCAACACTTCTACGAGTCTATAATAATAACAAAAGATGCATGCAGTTTTCCTATTGTTGTCTCATCCAGCCACCTACAGCGAGGGTCCACAATGACTAAGAATATTGAACTCACGAAAGGACCTGCACAGTCAACATGTAACCGAGCCCTGGGTTTACCACGTTATTCCCACGAATGTGAGGGAGCTGCTGGCAGTAATTTTTGTCCTTGTTAGCACTCTGGCCATTGTCCCACCAACATGGCTATGTTAGCATCCAATCCTGGCCTCAAGCATAACTTCTCACCAACATTTTCATTTTGGAAATCCCTGGATGACCCTGGTGGAGTTCAGCCAGTATCTGGCAGCGACCTTTGCTTGGGACAATCATTGTTGCTCCACATTTGCCATTCTCTACTATGGTCTTGTCTTTACAGGTGCAAAAAGGTTTCATTTCTCATTTTGATGGCCCTTTGGTTTCCCCATCACCATCAGCTGTTTCAGTTTTGCAGGATCAGATCTTTCTGCGTCCAAAGTCTGGTATTGCCAACTGTGACTGGAAGTGTGTCCAGAAAAGTTAATACCATTATGGACTCCTTCAGTGACAGTACTACCGGTGGTGTATCTGCCAGGAGAAGGTGGCTCGGTGCATTTGCATTTACTACCTGGCCTCCAGGCAATGTTCCAACTTGTAATTATATGCACTTAGTATTAGCATCCACTTCTGAATTCAGCCTGAAGCTATGGGCAGCACTGCCTTGTCCTCTTGAAGTAGACATGGCAGGGGTCCATTATTATTACAAATTTACATCCATAAAGGTATTGGTGGAACTTGCTGACTCCAAATATGACTGCCAAACCTTCCTTCTCTATCGGAGTGTATTTACACTCTGCGTTAGCCAAAGTCCTGGACGTATACGCTATTGGACATTCCTCTCCATTGGACCACCTATGAACTAATACTAGCCTGATGCCGTACAGGGAGGCATCACATGTCAATATAAGATCTCGCTTGGGATCACAGTGTGCCAACACCTTAGAGGATGATAGCTGTTTCTTTACTTCTCTGAAAGCTATGGCTTGGCTACATGACCATTTTCAAGGCTGACCTTTTTTAAGAGTTCATGCAAAGGTGCCAGGATGGAGTCCAGGTTATATATAAACTTCCCATTAAAGCTCACCAGCCCAAGGAAAGACCTAAGCTCTGATATAGATGTGGGAGCCAGGGCACCTTTGATCACCCTCACTTTATCTT